AGATTTCCTCGTGCACTTTTTTTTTTCGTCCCGGCAAACTAGCAGCTTAATTTCATCCCCTCATCGCACTGTGCAAATGATCATTTAAATGCTCACTTTTCATTAGCTAAAGAGCAACCAGCGAAGAGTAAGCAAAACCATTGCATACAAAAGCTTCACGCACTGACGATTTAGGACTGCACATTATGTATAATGTGTACATTATCATATTCAATGCTCATCCATTTCTCATGGAAAAGATACCCTTTCCAGCTAAACCAACACACTTCCCGGTTGATCAGCCATTTGGGAGGCTGAAACGCGAAAATTCCACACCTAATTGTTTTCCACGGAGCTTTCGCTGGGGAGTCGGAGTGTGGGCGGGGGAACATTTATCAGGCGAAAGTCATGCGAGGCACTCGCAAAAAGAGTCCGGGACAGATAGGGAGTTACGCAATAAAGAACTGATTAAGTACTTTTCGGTCAACCTCTCACATAAATCACACACACCAGCCCCGGAAGCACTTTAGCTCTCACGCTCTTTTTCATCTAAAACATTTTGGGACGCTGCAAAAATATACACTCTCTGGCTCTTTAGCGAGCTTTTTTTTGTGCAAACCAGGAGATTTTCCATTTAACTGACCAAATGAGAGAATATATCAATGGAAAAGCGAACAAGTTTCCATATTTACAATCTCCCACAGAAAGTAAAAGAAGGAAAAATTGATTAAAAAGGCATTCAATGGAAAAGAAGGATTTTAATATTGTCCACCAAGAGATTCATCTATTCATGCTAAAGTGGAAAATATATATATATATCTGTTTATGTACAACGAAATGAAATTGAGAACGTTGCCGCTTTGCATATTACAAAATAATCATGTTGCATTTTAATATTTTTTTTCTTCTCCTCCATCTCTCTAGGGATTTTAATTTCTTTTGTGTGTACATTTCACAAATTAAATCGCACAGGATATTAGCAGAGATGGAATGAAAGAGCTCCGAAAGCACTCAGATCAAAGACATTTCGAAGAACTTCCATTGTTGCACAGCACAATATAATCACATTCTTCCGCAATGACATGTCAAATGAATATGAATTTATTTACAAAATTCCCACAGTCATTATTTTCTCTATACTACTTTTGCCTGTATTGATGATGAAAATATGTTGTTGGATGATTTTTTTTGCAGTTTCACCATGAATAATAATTTCACTTGAGTAGACCAGAAATTCTCTTTCTCTCGCTCTCTCTCTCTATGGAATCTATCTTACGCACTTCTCAAGACAGCTCTCGCTTTCCATTGAATTTCCATTGATTGATTGTGAGAAAATGTGTTCAATGTTCAGTGAGAGGGAAATTTCAGGAAAAACACTTTTTGAATTACCCAGAAATTAGGCAAGAATTTAGGTCACGAGGAGGATATTAAAGAAACTTATTTTTATATGTGTTGCTTTAAACTTCTCTATGAATGAATAGACAAATTGAACTTCTTTATAAAGTAGAAATTTGCTAATATATGTTAAATATCATGTATACTGCGTCTGTCAGTGCGATTCTTCAATTTTTGCGAAAGCGTTATAGGAAAATAGTTTATATACTTATTGAATGAGCACTGCAATATATAGATTGGAAGGGTGAAATATTTTCTTGACACTCTATTAAGGCCAATGGCATCTCATATTTGTGTGTCAAGTAGTTAAATTGCAAGTGTGAATGTGCTGACATGTGAGATGCTGAGGCATATTGCCAAAAAGGAGTGCCATATTTGAATTTTCACGAGAATGGCAAAATATCTACATGCATGCGGGAATGTGTGAAGTTTTCCTTTGAAAGGGTGGCAAAATTCTGTGACGAGCTTCTCTCTACACTTCTGGCAAAAAGAATGTAAAATGAGGAGCAGCGAAATAGTATACTTGCATGGCAAGTTCTTGCTGCAGCACTGAAAGCAGGAGAGAGTCCTTTGAGCCCAGGTAAAGTGACATGGTATGGAAGACGACGTGAATTGAAATAGCTTTGATAAAGGCTTTTATCCCCAGCAATACTCTCCACGTTTTGCAAATGCTGAAAAGCGTCCGGGTGTGGACAAAAAAAAGCTCCGCCTCGTGAAAAACAAATCAAGTTTACTTCTTCCTCACACGATTTTGTCTCACATTACCATTAATCGTTTCTTGCTGCTCTGCCAACTTGAAGTCAGACGATGGTGAAATTTCATTAGTGTATTGTCACTAGGATTCACTTAAAGTATGGGAATGTGGCCTGTGAGAGGGGTCGAGCAATATTGCTCCTCATTTCATGATGAATATTTTAAAGTCTAATGCATTCCCTCCCTCTCACCCTCACCATCACTCAATACTCCATCGCCAACCCTTCTCAGGTTCTCCACACCAACCCTCCCCCACCTACTTTCCACCCCCTTTCCACCCTGTGTGTCAACGAATTGCAATTCTGGAGAGTGTTCAATGCCGAAGGAAAAATTTACATTGCGGAATGTAATATTCAAATTGATTTGAGTGTGTATCAAATCACGAGTGGATGGAATTTCTTTGCATGGTATGACCAAAAAACTGTCTCTCTACATTATCATTTCGATGATTTCGATATTATCATACTTGTCTGCAGAGTTTCTCCCCTTCTTGAGAATTTGCATATGCTTCAAGAGGAAAAACATATGTATGCATGACACCGATGTTCCTGCAGATCAGCCAATTCGGATACTGAAATTCACCGGCAATTGTCTTCATGATGCTTCAATTGAAAAATTGGATAATTCCATGAAGAGATGAGAAAAAACCTTGTTATTGTTCGTTAAGACGCCGGCAAAGATATCTGAAATCATTTGTATTATTTCATGAATCATTGTAAATTATTATTGCAAAATGTAGTCTCAAATAACACATGATTTAGTGTTTCTGCATACCTTTGCCAAAAAAAATCTCTGTGTACCGGCAAAATAATTAAATGCGGCAAGAGAAATTTCCAGATTGTTAAACAAAAAAGCTTGCGGATGGAAATTTTGGGTGCCAAGAATATTCTTCTGGGGCACAGTAAATTTAAATAAATCCCATCAATTCCTTGAGCAATGCTTGTGGGTGGGCAAATTGCAATCTCAAGAGCATATCCATCTATTCAGCCTCTGTTCTCTTGTCGTGGCCCTTTTGCAAAATGTTAGCACAAATAACAAATGTTGTGTGTCAATTGCAGGCAAATGCCTGATGTCTGAAGGGTAGAAACTTAGTCAATTGATTGATGTGAAAAATTATGAGAAAATTTCATTCTCCTTCCCCCCGACGAGGGTTGCTGAAGTTTTTGGTTTTTGTGCCAAGACAAGGAGAAAAACAGGCCACGAGAGAAAAAGCATCAATTTGAATAAGAAAATGTATGGGTGAAAATTTGTGTGTGGAGAAGCTTACAAAATGTGAATTTGTGTAATTCAATAAAGTCCGTTTTTGGAGCGATAAATCTCACAGTGTCGCCACCGGATGTGTATATTTTTGGCCGGGCTTTCGAGGGCTCGAGAAGAGCTTTTGCGCCATGGACTTTTGCACCGGTTGGCATGAATGACTCTATTGGGTTGACGTTTATGGGTCGTTCATTCAGCACGTGACACTATTTTTATTGGCAAATATCGTGGAGTTTCGAATCGCCCTCATTATCCACCGTCTCAACTTTTGTCATGGAGAAAATCACCCCCTAAAAAATTCGCTGACCGTTTTCCACCTCACACAGAAAATGACCCTTTCTTCTCGGCAAACTCTTTGGGGCATCATTGATAGTTTGATATAATTTATGATGGGTCAGTTGCTTGAGGAAGTGACCTAAAGGACTTCATTTCTGCTGAAAGTGATTGCTATTTCCACTGGAAGTTACAGCGCTCAAGGATAATTTCACATTTATTACTCTGATTTTACTTTATAGAGTTGGCAAACGGTGAAACCTCACACTAACCACTGTGCAATTTAGTGAAAAGACCGCATTTAGAATCATCTGAAAAGCTTTTAGGACTCCACATATGAGATGCGTTGGCAAGAGTGATTGGTTGTCGTGTTGAGGCTTTGAATTTGCAAATTAACACATCGGAATCCTCTCTTTCGCATCATTAGACAAACTTTATTGCTCGCAGCCACTATCATGGCCACAGAATATCTCACGAAACTTTTTTGCCTTTTTCCATAGTGCTCTTGTAATGACGATAAATGAGTTGATTTTTTGCTCAACTGACTCACTGTCGATCAATCATTTAGTGTGAGAATTTTTCCTCCTCGGCTTTTCCCCCCGAAAAGACGGGGCTTTCCTTGTCGGATTTATTCAGAAAATCTTCAATTGGCACTATCACCAGGACAGATTTATCAATCATGAGTGTTGTGATGATTAATTTAGTGCGAAATCGTGTTTTTGTGGGCAATTTATTGAAATTGACAGTGGCAAAATGATAGGGAAAATGCCTATGAATTATTATCTGTGTCTGTCATGAGCAGATTTCTCTGTCTCCATTAATCGCTTTAATTGATATTTAATTTCTGTGGCATTTTGGGTGGGAAAACTCACGTCATTGACAGAGGACTTTCTCCCCTGCTGAGCAATTATTTGCCTTCAATTCATAACTATATATTCCATTGAAAAGTCTTCCTCGCTGATGGTAGTTGTCTCCTCATTTGCATCACCGTTCATTTACATCAAAACCTGGGAGACATAAATTGGAAATGATGGTCGTGATTGCATTTCGGCAAGAGCTTTCGCCACATCCATAATGCCTGCATGTAATCCATTATAATTTCTTCTCTCTGCACCTCTTGCTGGATTTTTTTTTTTTGGACAGACGCCATGGAAAAAGCGACCCTTCAAACCCTAAAACTAGGGGTGATTGCAGAAAAATGTCGCAGAAGCCGAAAGTTGTTGCAAAAGATGAAAATGTCTTGTCTCCTCCCTTCCAACATTTGATCTCCACTCTTACGAGGAATATAAAACACGAATTTTCCGACTCTGTGGCGACAACTTCTGGGCGGATTTGAATTATATATGTTTTCAACATTGCTAAATTGCTTCATCCTCACACGCCGTTTCATTAATCCCGGATGCCCATCTCCGGAAAAGCTCTAAACCACAAGAGAGAGAGAGAGCTTTTTCCTCCGTAATGACACACAAACTATGGGTGTGGAGAGTTTGAGATATGAATATAAAAAGAGTCCGTAAATGTGTGTCATAAAGTGAATGGAAATCAGGCGGTATTTTTTGGTCCACCAGCAGAAAAGTGTCATTAGTGGGAAAAATGGAATGGAAGAATGGATTTCGGACAATTTTATGGTGTCTTTTCGGCACTGTGTGCGATTGGGGGGGGAATATGGAAAATGGCGAGTAATGAATATTTCACCACTTTCTCCGCACCACACAATCAGACAGTTTCCGGTGGGAAAATAATTCCGTGAACATTAATTCGTGGTGCAAAGTTTTGGCACAATTCATCCCAGCGATAAGATAAAAGAGAGTGGCAAAAAGCTCACAAAAAGTGCACGATTTTTCAACATCACACATATTCTAATTTCTTAATATTTCACTGAATATCCAGCTTTCTTCGAATCTCTTTAAGGTAACAAAAGCATGTGCATCAATTTATCTTTAGAAAATCCCCAAAAGTAATAAAATAATACATTTTAAAACAGTAGAAGAAATATCAATTACATACAATAATGCTCTTCTTCAGAATACCTCTGCGAGTTTCTATAATAATAGACAAGAAAACAGGGATAAAATAGCACTTTAGCTAAAAGAGAAATGAATGGACTTTTCTTCTCGGAATACATTATTTAGATGTTATGTCAGACTTTAGTATTTCTTCTGCATGAGTAATGAGGTACAAAGTTTGGTATAAAATATTATCTCCTTTGTGGAATCCTTCCCTTTTCCTTTGCAACAGTGCGCGCCAGGATGAAATTTTAATTAGACTTTTGGTGGAATTGTGGCATTTATACGGGCGGATCATACAAATATTTGTTACAATTATGAGTCTTCTTAATTAAACCGTCAAAAACTTCATGTTTCGGAGAAATCAACTATATTTCGCCGCGATGAGTCGTCATGTTTTGGGTTCGTGGTGTGGGAGGAAGTGAGCTCTGGAGAGCCCTCAAAAGCTCTCACAGCCACACATCGCAATCCATGTGAAAGTTTGGGAGCTTGTGAGCATGGAAAATAGTCAAAATTATGCCCCGCAATACACGCCAATTTCCATTTTGCCGGAATATAACTTTCGTCACACAAATTTGCAAGATACTGAAATATAGAACGTCACGGAAATACACAAATCATGATACGGGGAAGATGTGAAATCTTATTAAATGAATGTAAAGTGGAGTATAACATCGGCAAGGGTGGCGAATCCACCCTTTTCTTGCGATATTGCTACACACACACACATACAAGAATGGAAGAAGATACTGACAAAACTACCGAGCATCATCCCCTGAGGCGGGCCAAATTTTGTGTTTGTGCCACAAAATCCCTCAGTTTGTGAGACACACTATTAGTTTCCGAGAAGAAGGGTCTGATCTCCCCAATCTCTGCACCCCCATCGCCACAAACTGGGATCCGGAGTATGGCAGAGATCCGCTTTCCACCCGAGAAAGCGACACCCTGTAATGGTGAATATATCAGTTTTCGTTGCGAAATTTCTGAGATTTCATGCATAATCATATATAATCTTCTTGGCCTGTGGTTTCTTCGCTGCTTCACCTTCTTGCCTTGCACATTATCACCCAACAACTTCCACCCCAAATCATTTCTCCATCCAAAATTCATCCATTTCCCACTTGTCATGACTTTAAGCCACAAACTCACGAACCGACAATTATAATTGCAAACATTTTCTTAAATAAAAAAAAATCCACTGAACAATAATTATCTGTTCACCACGTCAAGACTTTGGAAATGCATTATGATGTTCGCAAGGCGATGGCACATGAGGAATGTGCGATTAAATACATCCGAGAGAATCTCTCAACAACATTCATCAACTTTTACACCGTCTCACCTTTCCGCCCTAAAGAAAGTTCTGCACAAAAAAGGGTGTGTAAGTGGAGAAATATACGACATGAACTTTCTACTGTTTTTAAAATTATAACTTTAGATTTTATACTCATAAGTACACTCTAATCTCAGTGATAAAATTTAAAATAATTTATAGTTGAGTGAAAAATTTTCCTCTGGACCATTTTAGAGCCTGCAGAAGTTTTCAGTTACTGGGGTAAGTGAAGTGACTACGGAAGAAGGAAATGCATTAGAAAGTCAAATTACCCTTAATGGGTGAAAGTTTGAAATTTCACTATACAAATGGAGGATGGAAATCCTCCTGCGACATTGGATTGAGACATCCTCTTGTGCGCAGAGTGCGTCAAATTGCATTAGGAGTGCCGTTGTGTGGTTGAATAATGGGGTGCATTATTTAATACATATTTAAAACACTTTAGAATGCCATCAATTCATTAAGCGACGATAATGGTGGAAAATTTCCCATTTACCACGTCTCTTTTTCATAATAACACGCGAAGAGAAATGATTTTAGACACTTCGCCACTTGAGAGCTTTCTCGACATCTTTTGTGTGCTTTTGCGTGCTTTTGCCGTTCGTCAGAAGAATATTGCAATAAGTTTCAATTTTCCCACCTCATCCGCCAGAGAAATTGGTCACGAAGGTGGAAGAGACAGAAAATTGAGTTGTGTGTCACAAGAAATTTCTCATCCAACTCACCTGCCAGCCTCCAATTCGGTGGCACATCACTTTGAGACTGACTATAACAAACTATTATGATATTGGTGATGTGGAAATTGTCAGGCAAAGGAGGCGAGCTTTGATTGAATTTGCTGGGTTTTCATACAACATGGCAAAAAGGGACAAACGAACAGCATCTTGGAGATATCACCAGAGATTGAGAGATTGAGGAAGCATGAAAACATACATCCATAAATTTAATTAAAGAATCCTTTTCACTTCTGTCATTAAATGGTGAAATCTCAGGTTGAATTTCTTCCAGTGATTTATCAAAGAGAGAAAATCTCAGGGTAAATCTTTTGCAATTGCACTATTCACACAAGTAAGACAATAATTTATCCTGAAACGTCTTCAGTCATTTGAGTTCCGTTTCAACTGCTCACTCAAGCTATGGCTTAAAGTGTATTAATTCCCATGAGAGAGAGAAGGTAAAATAGAGAAGTTTATACCTTTCCTTTAGTCGCCTTGGCAAATTTTTTGCAGCCTTTTTGTCAGAAACCATAGACATGATTTTCAAATGAGACTTCAATTGTGCATTGATAAAAATTTATACATAGTTTGGGGATCGATATTAATGTGTAGAATGCACATTATGAGCTACTTAAATAATTAAGTCTGTTATGCAATTGTGTGTCAAGGACTAAATGGCATGATGTCTCTTCCTCGAAGATATCCCTTTGTATTTTCAAGCCCCTTGTTCAACGTATGTCATTATACAGTAGCGAAAAGTAGTTTAGGACATATGAAATTTGGACCCATTTTCCTTGCCGTGCTAAAAATTCGATATTTTCTTATCCTTATACGCACATATTTCTGCATTTTTCAATATCTCGGCATCGAATTATTTTATCGTCATGATCTCAACGCCATTTGAAAGACCATAAAGTTTTTATAATTTTTTGTTTAAAGGTAAATGTCTCGCAAATTGAAAGAAATATGGAATTTTTAACACCAAAAGGAAAATTATTGTGCCTTAAACAAATTTTTGCTACTGTCATTCTTGGCATTCCACATTTGCAGGATGTGGCTTATGATAAATTTTAGATGATGGGATAATTAACAGCTGAATTCTGGAGGAATACAGAATCGATCAGCTATTTAATTCAGACAGAAATTGCAACTCAAACATATAATTATTGAACAACAGACACACTCAAACAACTGACGCTTGTCTTCATTTTACGAAAATATAAATTAAATTCACATTTACGGAAGTGTTCAGTGAGAAATTGGCATTACGTGAAGACGTACAAATTGATACTGCGATCAAAATGATTAACATTAATTTGAATTTTGGTCAATTCTTCAAGATTCTAAAACTCTGTGTTACTTCGATAATTTTGAAGCCACTTCAAGGCGAATCACCACGATTGATTTGGATTCTCTACTTGTGCAGAATTACATTGATATGTTTTTTGATTTGTGCTATTTTAAACATTAACATGATTCGTTCTGCCGATGAAGATGTGAATATGATAAGAATTGTTTACTCGATACTCATTTCATTGGGCACAACTCAAATCCTTGTGAAGAATTTCGGTGGCGCGTTTTATCAACACGAATTCCAAATCCTCGTTGATTGGATTGAAACACTGCATAAGGAAAATGAAGACAATGAGATTGTTCGAGAAATCCTCGAAGAAGAAGTTGCGAAGGCCAAGAAATATTCTACGCATTTTGTAATGTGAGAATATTTAGTTTACAACATAAAACTATAAAATAACTCTAATAAATTTCTAATGTTCCTTTCTAGAACGTACTTCATCATATTTATTTTCTGTTTTATCATGTGCCTAATAACCCTTTTCGATCAAAATTTGATTACAATGATCATTCCGAGACTCGATTATGATTCTAATCAATTGATTTACATCATTGCACAGATTTGGTGTGTAACAATTGCAGAAATTTTCACTATTTCTGGTGATGCTGCAATAGTTTCTGTTGGCATTTATATCATATTCTATGTGAAAGCTATCAACATGATGATCAAGATGTTGAATGACAAGGAGAAAATTGAGAAATGTCCGAATCTCTTGATTTGTATTTTGAAGAAACACACTCAAATGATAAGAATTCTCAACACTTTCATTGATGCCGTGAAATTCATATCATTCTTTCAATTGTTAACGAGTTCAGTCATTTTTCTTACTATTCTATATACTATTCAAGTATACAAAGATATTATCGAATTATACATCTTTCTCTTTGCTTTGTTAATTCAATTGGCATTTCTTTGTCTCTTTGGTGAAATTATTCGCCATCAAACTGAGCAGATTTTCCAGAATCTTTACCTCACAAATTGGTACGAAATGAGTTTGTCTGACCAGAAAATCCTTCTCTTGATGATGATCAATTCTACTGAGCCAATTGGATTGAAAGCCGCCGGAATGTATGAAGTTTCGCTCATGGCTTTCGTACAGGTAAATAAAAATTAACCAATTATAAACAGTATTGTTGAATGTTATTTTCTTACAGATTCTCAAGATATCCATGTCATATTCAGCTATAATCCTCACATTGACCGAATAGTAAGCTTAGGAACTTCATGAACTTATAAAAGACGCCAGATTATTAACAAGAGCCTCATTTCAAAGGCATCCGACAGCTGTAAGAAAAAGATGTCTAATTTATTACTAAATGTGAATATGCAATTTTTCACTTCTGTTAGCAAAGCATCCAAAAAGTGTACTCATAAAGTTCAAATACGTTCATATATCGATGTTATGAGCATTACAACAATAAAAGCAAGAGACGTAAAATATGATTTTCTTCTTCTCTTCCATCCTTTCAATAACACTTAATATTTAATATTCTGTCTCTTCATTTCATCATCATTTTTATTTTTATGGGTGTTCCCTTGAAATATTGACCATCAGCACATATATATATATACATATATAGTGAGAAATTTGTTAGCAAGCGAAATCCAAATTGCAAAATTTCACTGCCTGAAAGCTTTCAGGGTAAAAGAATTAAAACTTTCACAAAGCTCTGGTGCGCTTTTTCTGCGGATTAAAAAGTTTCTTGCGTGTTAACACGATTCTGTCGCACATTTCGTTGCAAACGACGACGAGATTCCACTAAGATTGCACCAACAAGAAATCTTGTGCTTTCATAGTCTGCAATTGTCGTGCCCTTTTTTTCTTTTTCTCTGAAAATAGAAATACTTTGCTGTGCAGTAAATTAGTTTATAGTGGGTGGCAAACTTTCACTTGCTGAACTTTTTATTAATTCCATTTTGAAGATATACTTTTCTTTTATGGGAAATGGAACAAACTCGAGCATGGGTGGTGAAGAAATTTTTTAATTGCCTTAAATATTGCACAGGGTGAAAAAGTTCCAAATGCCAAATGTAAATTCGTCCACAATGTGCAGCGAGGATCACACGCGAATGAGGTGAATAATTAAGCGGTCAGTATGAGGACATGGTATATAATTAAAATGTGTATAGTAATTTTGTGGGGACGGGACAAATGGCACTTTGTATGATTGTAGAATAATATGTGTGAAATATAGAGGAAATTGCTACACCATCACGCTGATTTCATTGGTGCATGCATGCGTTTGTTCTGGGAAAAATTTAATATTTGATTGATTCCAGTTCAGTTGATTTGCACCTAAAATAAAAATTCGGATGGAATTCGTTAAAATATTTCAGGCAGAAATCACGAGTTAATTGTGATAACGAATGGTTACCGCGAAAAAAAAAACCCATTTTGCCACCATCAACATATGAAAACCATTCAACCTGGGCTTGTGCCTTTAATTAAAATGAAAACAGACATAGTGTAAGAGAACACAGGCGGTGAAATATGTTTATGACCTTCGCGTCGTGATTCCCAATTTGCATTTTATGACAATTCAACAATAAAACACTCCTCGTGAGAATCATTGAGTTTGTCGCGTTGGCGAAGGAAAAGTGCTTCATTTGAATGCTTGAGGAAAAATCTGTGCCTTAGACCCTCATTTCAAGAAGTGAAATTCTCTCTCTTGCAAAGGTGGCAAATCTCATTTGCATTCCTCTTTCAACAGGTGTTCTCTCGTCCTTATTTTATGCCATTCTCAAGCGACACTTTTCGTTCGTGAGACACTTGGAAAATATGTTATTTTATGGTCATTTTCCTTAAAGTGGAAACAGAACATGTTGCAGAATAATAATTAAAATATCAAAAGTCTTATAGACTCAAAACGACAAGCATTTTGCACGTGCAATTTATTGATTATAAAATTATAGGGGATGAATTGATGTCGTCAGGTGGTTTTCTACTCCTTTACGCAACTTGTCACCATGCTGAATTGCATTTTGCCAGTTGGTTTCAAAATAAGAGAGTGTGGGGTAATTCAGACTCCTTTTATATTCATATATAAAAATGTTAGACCACAGGTTAAAAGAATAATTCGATAAAAAGGCGTTATTAACTGTCTTTAAATGTTTGTTAACTGCAAAATAAATTCGCACCATCCATAAAACCAAGGCTTCCTCTATTTCCGTCCACCCCGCGCGCGAAAGTCACTGTGTAAATCAAATTGAAGCGCAGTTTCGAGCACTTGGGTGGATCTTTAGCAATGCTAAGTAACACTTTATTATGAATTCCGAGCACGCGACGGAATCCTGGGCTTAATCCTTTTGAGAGATTTTTTCCACGCTCAGAAAGGCGACAGGAAAAAAAGGGGCGGCAGGATGAGCAATGCATCTGGCGGAATAAAGCTGAAGCGAATTAGCATATAAATAAAAGGAGGGTCTTTGATAAATTAGACTTGAATATATTCACGACACCTTTGAATATATTTCTCTAAAGGTATCTGGAATATTGTTTTTCCGCTTTCTCACATCTCATGTCGCGCCTGACAAATTGACGTGCTTTTGGCGCCTCCTGCCAGAGTGAGAGGCAATATAGGTGGTGTCATTTTTCATCTCTCGACCGTGCAAGTACAGGTGGGAATGTCCTAAAAAATCAACAGGAGCAGAAGCTTCATTAACAGCCGAAGCCCCGTGACCTCAGTTGTGGTGGTGGAGTTTCGGCCAAGAGAACGAGAACACTTCAGCCACCAATTTATCCCCATCAAGAGTGTGGCAAAGTGATGGGAAGGTGCGAAGAATTACCGCCAAATTGATTTCCTGATGTGAAACTGTTCTCAGCGGATCTGCAAACGACAATGAAAATACAGCGTGTGTGTGTGAGCGACAAAACCACCCCCCAATTCCATCATGTTTTGTGTTCACCGGGAAAATTTATTTGCTGACAATTTTTCAGGCAAGACAATTCCATTTACAGAACACGAAACAATTTATCCACGAGAAGGCATCAGTAAGAAGAAGCTGCGGAATTGCGAAAGCATGTGGTAGATTGGATGAAATGACGAATTACGGCGAGCTTCGAGGGGAATCGCAGAATAAATCTCTGAAGGGGTGGTGAGAATTTGCCAACTTTCGAGAGAGTGCGGAAAGGCAAAACGGAAGGGCATCACATGTCTGTACACATATGAAACTCCACTTGACCAATCAATTAGGCTCTCCAATGTTTCGTGGAAAAGCGCTGAATGGTGCGCTTTTCACAACCCCTTCGCGTGTTTCATTTACAAATTGTATGCAGATGAAGTATAAAGCAAAACTCCCGGTCAGTTGTGGATGCTGAAAGCGTGGCAAAATGTATAAATTATTTACATGAACTTCAGCACAGGTGCATTCATTATTCAGAATCTCTCATCGACCATCAGTCCATGCTAATTGGCAATTGACGATATTGCCGAAGGTTCAAATAACATTTCAATACTTACCGAATTCTGCGACTCTTCGAGAGCACACAAATTATTTACATTTAGTGGCGTATTTTCATCGCATTTCCACTTCATCGAATTGCTGATTGTGACAATCAGCATCAGAATGATGCAATTGCAACATTGTAATTATACTCCTGTGTATGTGACAATTGAAATCTTAGAAATCAATATCTATATAATGCCATAAATTCAGTTTCAAAGTTCCTGAGAAACTTATAGACAAATTATTGGATTAGAGTGGAATTTTTCTATAGAGATGCCAAAGATAATGCTGCAGCGCGAACGTGACAAGAATTGAGTGTTGCTCCGAAAAAGTTTGTCTTTGGATGATGCAGAAAATGAAAAGCTCCTCCTTTGTTATTCAACTCAAGTGTGGAAAATTGAGAAAGTCTCAAGTTTTGGAGCCACATAATGAAAATCTGTGTTGAAAATTATTTCTCTCTCTCTCTCATAATAATTCCACACAATGTTCTGTAAAGTTCAGCCCATCTCAGGCTTTCTCGCATCTGCGAAAGGGGTGTGGGGGTGTATTTTTGGTTGGACGCGTATTTGTTGTTTTACACAAATGGTGGGAGAAGTTGGGATTTGGGGAGGAGCAGAGATTTAATTTGCATTCCATTTTGACACAGAAACTTTTTCAATATTCTATCTGATTTGGCTGAAAGCTTCCGCGCCACTGCACGCAATAGTTTTGAGTGTGAAAGTTTTTAAATCATCCACTAGACTTTTTTTTTCTATGTGTGCAAATGAATTATCCCCATTCTGTCTAATGAAAATACCGGCGACACTTTCGTCACTTCCTTCACCTCTATTTGCAATTCTAATTTTTATTGAAGCTGCACACGTCTTTCTGGCACTTTTCCACGCTTTTCCAATCCCTGCACGAAAGTCCCAACATTATAAATCCCATTTCTATGGCTGTGGTTCTGTGGCGAGGGATTTCCCAGAGATTTTCCTGCGGTCTGTTTGTAGATGTTTTCCTAGTGAGACTGAAAACCTTCTCGAGACGCATTTCAACACATCACGATACACGAAAAACCCTTATCTCCAGGCCAAAATTCACCCCCTTCACGCTTGTTGAGTGTCTAAAGTGGAGGCAAGCAGGAAATTACTCATGAGAATGTCCTGATGGAAAATTTCGACGAAAACGCATGGGGAAAACAGAAAGTCTGGCCTCATGGAATATTTACATTACTTTCAAACTGAAAAATGTGAAGCTATTCTTCATTCACTCTAATTAACCTAATTTTCAGTGGAAATGAAATTTTGACATGAACCAAGTCTGGAAATTCTGCAAGTCGCAGTTACTTTCATATCACTTTGACATTACATGGTAAAAAGTGGGAATGACGTGGTCTCGAAGCACCATCAATAAGTAACATGATGAATTGTGTCAAGTGAAATTTCCTCAGGGGAAAATAAACAGTTGCACTTTAATTACACTTGGCTATAGTATTATTTTTGAGTAAAGACAATACCTCAATTACCTTGTTTAATTATTAATACGCTGCAGTTGTCATTGTATTTCTCATCCATACATGGTTAATAAATATTTCAATCCTCAGTTTGTATTGAAGAACTTCCATAGAATCGTTAAATATGTATTATTTGCTTGATTGATATGTCATGCATAAGTTTTTAACTTGAAATAATCAATTTACAGCAAAATAAAGGTGGAATAATTGGCTTATATGAAAGCAAATGGCAAGTTTGTATGTGCAGATCATTATCAAGTAAAATGATTTCCTGATAGAGCTAACGATGTTACGTGATAAATTAGACACAATTTGGCGTATGAACGGCGACGAGAGAGAGAGAAAATGGCGCAAAAGCAATAAAATGTGTTGTTCCACGTATTTACATATTATTACCTAAATCACCATACAAATTCTCATGTGTGTGCCGGCGCAGGAAGTTGAGGCGCAAAATTGCGCTCCCCGAAGTGGTGTGAGTCCTCGCCAT